CTTTATTTTGATCCTTTCTCCTTTGTTTCCTTAATTTCATCGATCGTATTAGCGCCTTTATTCCGATTTTCGATAATCATCTTAATTGAAAAAATACGAACTGCTCCCTTCAATCTCTCTCTCTCCACTCCTTCTCTGTTATTATACACTATCACTTTTCCCTCTCTATCATCTTTTCTCCGTTGCTCTCTCTCTCTCTCTCTCTCGATATCCTCTCCCACCTTCTATATCTCCCACTCTTAACGACTTTCACTCCCTCTCTCGCTATTACCCTGTCCTTCCTTCTCAATATCACCCTATCTCTCCTTCCCGTATCACTGTATAACCCCGATCTGTCTCTAGCAGTTACTTCTTTTACTTCTTCAGTTTCCTGAACGTCAATTCTTTCCTCGAAATAACGGAATTGCTGCCGTGCCAAAAGATTTTTTTTTTATCTGATAAACGCATATTGTTCTTTACTCAAACTTCTTTTCTTCCAGCCTTTCACACCCTGAAACCCTAACTGATCAGTCTTGTACTTGACTTGTAAATTACGTGAAACCAATAACAGATTAATATCAACAAATCTAAATGATTGTAATACAGATCAGAATACAATAAAGTCAGGCGTTCGATGTTCAAGTAACATTTGCGGCAGGAATATCCGTAAATTAAAAATCGAAAATCGATCATAAATAAAAGAAATGCTTTTCAGACCAGAATCTAGATATTTTTATCTTCTGAATGTTAAAACAATAAGAAAAGAAATTTGAGAATTTTCCCGTCAATGCCGTATCGTCTCCAACTTTGAATAAAATCTTCAGTTTGCTTCACAAAGTACTTTTCGATGTCCATCCTGAGGTCATAAGTATTCTGTTCAAAACGAGACTACGTGATACCTACCTTTACTTTCAAAATAACATTTTTTTTCAGCAAAATTTGCATTTCAGCTAAGCAACAGCTTGCAGCGTAGTCAACTTCGGCGCCATCTGGCGGTGCTTGAAAACTGCAAAAATTGAATTTCAAATTTTGTGGTCGACAAACGAGAGATTTGCGTAACATTATAGTCCCAGCCATCTCACACAGTCTATTAATAAATATAAGAATTATATATATATATATATATATATATATATATATATATATATATATATATATTAGTGAGACCACCACGTACTTTCCTCTTTTTTAACCTGCCATTTTCCAAAATAAAACGTGATTAGTACTGATATTGATATTGACTAAAGACAGCATAATACTGATAATTAAACACTAGACATATCGTGTCTGCTATATCAAAAGTTATTAAACCTTTAAACAATATCCAAGTAATATTTAAATAAACGTAATATTTAAATAAACGTATTTAATATTTAAATAAATGTAAGTAATATTTAAATAGACGTAATATTTAAATAAATATAAGTAATATTTAAATAGACTTTTAATATTTAAATAAGTAATATTTTAAATAATATTTAAATAAAATGTAATATTTAAATAAATATAAGTAATATTTAAATAAATATAAGTAATATTTCAATAAAGGTAAGTAATATTTAAATAAATTTAAATAATTTTAAATTTTTTTATTTAAATAAAAATAAGTAATATTTAAATAAATGTAATATTTAAATAAATATAAGTAATATTTAAATAAAGGTAAAAGTAAGTAATATTTAAATAATATTTAAATAAAATGTTCTATTTTTAAATAAATGTAATATTGAAATTTAAATAAAGACGTAATATTTTAAATAAATATAAGTATTTAAAAATATTTAAATAAATATAAGTAATATTTAAATAAATATACAGTGAAATGTATTCAAAAATTAATACATAAATTCAGCCCCATAATGTATCAACCGACATACTTTCTTTTTTATCAATTTTTTTTTCAGGACTTGGTCTATTGTGGCTCTCTACAATTTCCTATCCTTTGTAGGTCTAAGCAGTTTTTGTCCCCTTAATCATCCCTTTACTCATCCTAATCTTTAACCTGCCATCCATTTACACAAGATCGATATTTCCCTCAGCTTTTCTTCCCTGTACTGTGGGTGTCAAATTCCTCAAATCCTCTTTCTTTATTACGCGTGCCAGATATTTGTATAGATATATACAGAGGAGACACGGGAATCAAAACTGCATGGTGACTGTCAATTTCAGATCTTAAAAATTACACTAAAACATGAAACTGACAGCGCTATGCAGTGTTGATTCCTACCCGCATTATCTTTATCTATATACACTCTATTCCTGATATTGAGCACTATTTTCCTATGAATATAGCACATTTTAGAATCAATTTATATATATATATATATATATATATATATATATATATATATATATATAAGCAAGTGTAAATGGATATAAATTTTACAGAATGAATAATTTTGAAAAAACAAACAAAAACTTTTAAATGTAGTTAAAATGAAAAAAATGTCGACGTCCGACGTTTGGTTTAATAAACCTTTTTCAAGACAATATTCATCAAAATTTTTAAGTCACGGCGTGACAATGTTAGACGGAAGGCTGATCATTTTAAAAATTTTCAGTTATCTGTTCTGAATAAGACTTGTGTTTTTATGTCCATCGTATTTGTCATATTGAACTAAATTGTATTTTGATGAATATTGTCTTGAAAAAGGTTTATTAAACCGAAACGTCGGACGTCGACATTTCTTTCATTTTAACTACATTTAAGGATTTTTGTTTGTTTTTTCAAAATTTCTTCATTTTTCTATATATATATATATATATATATAAAGACATTTTTATGTTTATACATTCTTTTTATAGATACAAATATTTAAGTAAATGCTCTGTTTATAATAAACAGTATAAAACATTTACTGGTCTGAATGTCCGAGAAATTTTCACAAAAAATATTTAGCCTCCGACAGGATTCGAACCTGTATCCTATACGGAACCTGTCGAAGGACGAATATTTTCTGTAAAAATTTCTCCGACATTCAGGCTGGTAAATGTTGTTTAATACTGTTTATTATAAACAGAGCATTTACTTAAATATTTGTAACTATAATAAGAATGTATAAACATAAAATGTCTTAAAATAATTGTCGGACTTTGTCCATTTCATAATGTGTGACGTCATATATATATATATATATATATATATATATATATATATGTGTGTGTGTGTGTGTGTGTGTGTGTGTGTGTGTGTGTGTGTGTGTGTGTGTGTGTGTGTCAAGATGGATAGAAAACCAAACGCCAAAACGTTTAAGATGCACCCTTCCTTCAACCACCGCCAAGCATAATGAAACAAATTTCGTTCTCCATTGCCCGCAGATTATCCGATCACTTGTTATCCTTCAGCAGAATTCGAAATATATAGATATAGATATTTTTAACAATAAAACCTGACTCTCAATAATATCAGTTATGAACATAGCTATAACCTGCTGGCTGTGTTCGGAAGTTAAAACTTCCTATTGCTATAATTCTACATATTCAGACTAACAAAAGATATCCTTGATAATGGGTAACAGAATAGTCGAAAGCGCTCAAGTTTACAAATCATTTAGACAGTTCTCACACACTCTATGAACCTGAACACAAATCTACTGTGAATGATCTAGCGATTAAAACACTTTCTATACATTTTTGACTTAGTGAATTCTTTTCTCTTTTAATTAGAGTCGCAATTTTTTATGTCAAAATTGTGGTCAGTTTCGTCATGGTGAGCAACTAAAGCGTTTAATGTGTTATTTTTTACAATGTTTCTTTTTTGTTCATTTAATCAGTGATAGAGTAAATTCCTCCTTCAAGGTTTGACTTGTTTTGTTTCGTATTGCTTAAGTCTTTTATTGTTTTAAATGTAGTTGTGACAAATTTTATGTTGAGTTTAAATATATTCTTTTCAATTGTAGTTTTGATAGAGTTAGTGGATAGAACAATATTTTTTTTCATTGGATTTGTCAGGAGGGGCCACTTTTTTTTCTATTTTGAAATATTTTATGAACCTTGTGTTTCGCATTGAATATGAAATAAGGTATTGGAGGGTATTGAATGTGTTTTCAATATATTTCGCGTCTTTGTGTAAATATTGAGGGCTGCAAATTTTGAGTGCTCTTAAGTAGAAATTGATGATTATTCCGTGTTTTATTTGTTGTTATGATGAGAACAGAAATTTTTATTAGTTGATTTTCGTTAGACACTAAGTTTTAAGCTGCTGTCTGTTCTGTGTCGAATGATGTCTAGGAAAGGCAAAGTATTATTTTCTTTCATTTCGTATGTAAATTCTATTGTATGTTCAGCTTTGTTTAGTTTATCTACAAGATCAGGTAAATCAGCATCCCCAATACACTATGTCATAATTCAATATTTCCTGTGAGTGCCAAATTCTCCAAGCCTTTTTTTCTTATTATGTATCCCAGAAATTCCAACGATTTCTTTCTGATTCAAATATATTTTTTTATTTCCTTTACTCTTAACACTTCCTCGTTGTTCATCTGTTCCTTGTCTCTTGGGCAAACCGGTGAAAATATTTGTTATAAAACAGAGTTTAAATAAAACCACAAAGATTATGATTTTCATTATTATCATGGCAAGCAATGCGAATCGAACCCCAGACTTCTGCTCTACCAAATATCGACGAAGCATTCTTTAAATTAAGCACACGTTTCACTTGTTGAAACACCCGTACGATCCCCAAAGTTAAGCAATGTCTAGCCTAGTCACCTATCTAGATGGGTGACCGCTTGGGATTAACAAGTGCTGTAAGATTAATCAGTTTTCTACAATTTATCAACATTTTGGAGGTTATTTAATGCACAAAATATGTTGAGATTGTAAGAATTCTTTTGGAGATGGTAATGATTTGAATCGTACAAATCTTCCTAATTAACCCATAGATGGAGGGAGAGAAGAGGTGGATCTTTCCCAAAGTTATTTGCGTATAAGTGAATATAACGAAACCAATTGGAATTGGAACTCGGCTCTCTGGTTAACAACTCTGAGCCATTATCCATTACATCAACCGCATATCCTTGCTTACAGCAACCTGGTATTCTCGAGCGGCCACCCACCTAGGTACTGACCAGAGTCAACGTTGCTTAACTTCAGTGATCGTACGGGAATCTGTGTTTGAACGTGATGTAGGCATAAACCTAGTATTCGGTGTCAATCGAATTTACTATCGATCGTCTGCAAGACTAATCATCTCTTGGTGATAGGTGTCCCCGTAGATATTTACTTTCAGGGCGACATCAGTGAAGACCAACGTCAGTGCAGCAATATTGGTCACAGTATCTAGCATGACAATCATCGCTATGACACACAACCAAGTAGAGGACAGACCCAAAGTCATCTAGGTATTTAAAATGTCATAACATTTCAGATATATTTTGTAATGTTGTGTTTTTTTTTGGCGGGGGGGGGTCGGATTTTAATATTAACAAATAGAAATTTAGCCATAGTAAAATTCAAAATTGAACAAACAATTATCTTGAAATCCTTATTTCTTTGACGATGCAAATGCAATGATAGTCGCTAGTTGGTGATATTGGATCATGATCGAAACTTTTTTTAGTCCAATAGTACAGAAAAAATCTGAGATGTGATTTCAACGTAGAGCCACTGTATATAAAACTCGGGCAACGATGAAGTTTCTTAAGCAAACATTTGGTCACCAGATAATTTCACGAAATTCCGAAATTATATGACCACCACGTTCTCCTAATGGCAGTCTCCAATTGTTTGGTTTCTGGATAATTTAAGGAACATGAAAGAATAACATCTGTGCAAGGATAACTCAAGGGAAACATCTGGACAAGAAATTCGATTGAAGTCAAAATAATTAAGCATAGAGAATTCTGTCAAATGACCGCATCTGTGTCAAATCGAAAATTTCCGCCGTATAATGTTTCATAAATGGAAATATATTTCCACTGTTTGAATTTTCATTCTGTATAAAATATTTCTTGAATAATAAAAGAAAATGTTGAAATTACTGTATTTTTAAATTCCTGGTGGAATTCTGAGACGCCTTAGAAGACACTGGTCTGGTACGAGGTCAGATCAGTGGAGCAACTATATAATAAAGTGGATGACCCGATAAAATGATAACAGATTTGAACCTTCCTTACTTAAAATTCTCATCTCGTATCTAGTATGCAGCTACCGTCGTCGCCATCCAGTTCGACACGTGAACCCTACATTGTCGGCGATGTGAGAGAGACACTTGAAACTGCCTGCGGCACTTTTTGTATATCAATCTGTCCAACATTCTTGTTCTCACGCTTGCAATAGGTGTGAGGTCATGTACTTCTACAATCAGCGGTCGTAAGTAACCACAGGTTAACACTGCACTGTTAATTATTGCTTTTAAGCTTTACTAAGCTTTGTTTTTCCTGGCACAAGGCAGTTAGAGTAGAGCATCTTTTGAAGAATAAACCTTTTACACTAGTAATGGTCTTTCGAAACGATTTCGTTTATTGTCGCTCCAGCGTAGGCGCCCTTATATATCTTCTGTAATAAATCTTGCAAATATATTCCTGTGTATTCCGATTCCGTAGAGCAGACAAAGAAATACTAATTTTTATTCTCCGTTCCTTTTATTCGGAAACGCTGCGATGGTGATGATGTCGTTAAGCGCTTTAGTTTTTATCATCATCATCGTCATGTTCATGTTCGCTGTCGTCGCCGTCGTTGTCATTATCGGCGCTGCTTGCTTTCTGAAGCAAAAAAAAAAAAAGATGTAGAAAGAAACTCAAGGTGAATGACGTCACATCTTTTCCCCCTCACACTATTCTGGAGATGTTCACGTATTATGTGCAACCAGCCAGACAACTTCACTTCCGAGAGTTTTCATCGGAACAGTTTCCTATTAAAAAAAAAAAAAAAAAGTCTCCTTAACATCATCATCATCATCATCATTGTATATTATTATTATTATTATTATTTCAGTAAAGTCTGAGACTGAAACTGTAGAAGTGGTGTTGGTCAAGTCCGTACAAGATGCGTCATTTAATATTAAATGAATTTCCTCACTAGTTCGAAGGCGTGGGGATCAAGTGACAACAAATCTCCTCAAAAATCGAATACTCTCCCTAAAATTAATATTCTGTTCTTTGACTATTTTTAAATGCCATTTCCTCTCAAAATATAGGAATTATTTTTTGACTATCCATACATTTCTTTGCTTTTATTATTTGTTATTGGGAAATATATTAGAGTATTTTCCTATTTATGTCTCCAGATTTCCTTCTCTTAGGGAAAGTAAACGGTACAATCTCGGCTGGGATTTGAACTCGGCCCGCCGATTCCCCTTTCTACGCTGATAACCGCTGTGTCACCGTCAATTTCTAGTTTTTATTTTATTCTTATTCTTATTCTTATTCTTATTAGTAGTAGTAGTAGTATTACTACTGAATCAAGTGATAATATTTTTCTTATTATTACTCATGGGAAGAGAAAAAGAGCAAAGACTAAATTTTATTAGTCGTAGTAGTAGTACTAAGAAAGCATCATGCCAACAAATTGACACTAAGGTATAAATATATAACCCCCAGCATACCCTTCATGACAACCGGTGTGATAAGTGTATACTGGGCACATGCAGCACAGCCAAATGTGCGCGATATAATAAGAGGTTTTGATAAAAGCAGCGCCTAATCTCGCAAGCGGGGTTCCAGTTATAAATGCATTTCCGGTGGAGAGTTATCCTGTCCGTACGAACGGATGGTGTTTCCATGTCTCCAGATAGGTCCAATCCGCCATGTCTGCCTCGTCCTTCAAAACACCTACCAATGATACTCTCCCAATCTTCCCGCTCAGAAGCAAAGACGCACATTATCATCATTATTAATTACCACCATTCTTTAGTACATTATTTCGCACGACCATTACGTATTGCCAATACCTAATAAATAATGAACTATTCCGTTTTGATCGCGTGGAAAGAGGGGAAAGACAGTACTTGATTTCAGTGGGACAGAAAGAAAGAATGAAGTGTCCTGCAATTACCTAATAAATAATGGATTATTCCGTCTTGATTGCGTGTAAAATCAAAAGACATATCAGAGACGCTACTTGGTTTCAATCAAGAAATAAGAGATAAATGAATAAATAAAAGAAAGAAGGGAAGACGCAAGTGCTTTACGCCTGTTTCAGTGAAATGGAAAATGTTTTCAATTTCAAATCTTTTCATTTGTACACCCTTACTTCTTAAAATGACGACCGGCATTCATATTTATGCTTTCACCAAGATTTTCTTAAAGTTGTTAAGCTCAAATATTTAAAGGTGTGATAGGGAAATTTCTATTGATATTTTATTGTTATAGAACTCGCCATGAGCTCATCATTCAATCATTAACTTAACAATTGATATACATAAGAAAATTTTAATAGGAATACCATGAAATTTTCACGAGTATTTCTAGTTATTATTATTATTAGTAGTAGTAGTAGTAGTAGTAGTAGTAGTAGTAGTAGTAGTAACAACAATCACTATTACAAACAGAAGGCGACAGTTCTCAAGACACCGTTGAGGCAGCAAGCAAATAATTATCGGCAAAGTCATACTGCGGGATTCTCTCCATGAAAAATGGTGCTGTGGACTCCCAACCTGAACATACACCGACCAACTAATGGTGGATAGAAATGTGGGAATAGATCAGCGACCAAAAGTATTGGAAGATCGTCAATTATGGAGTAGATTTGTGATGGGTGTCCGACGGAGGCCGACGACGACATGAAATGAGATTTTTATTAACAGTAGTAGTAATAGTAGTAGTATATAAGTAAAGAGAAAAGTGCCGTAGTCGTCATAGTGATAATGGTATAAAATCTGTCCGCAATTATTATTATTATTAATAGATTTTCTGCATTCTAACCCTACCCGGTTGAAATCTTGTTGATAACTTGAATGACAAAAAATTTACAGTGTCACAATTATAAAGTCCCACAGTTTTCACAGTTCTCAGCCGCGGTTCTGATATTTTCGTAATGTTTCGTTTTTATTCGTCTCCACCCTGTGGTCCGTTAATATAGCCAAGTTTTAGATCTGGCAGATCCTTTCTTTTTGGGGGACTATCGGAGTTTTTTGTCCCCCCCTCTATCTCTCTCTCTCTCTCTCTCTCTCTCTCTCTCTCTCTCTCTCTCTCAATTAGTGTTTCTTTGTCTGTTCTACGGAATCAGTATGATCAGACTGAATCTTGGATCAAAGGTACCTTAGACTTTTTATTTCCAAGAACAGCCTCTGAGTTTTGCCGGTACCACTAGCTTACACTAATACATATTCCCTGATATTCTCAACATCTTCATTTAAGTTAATTATTCTCTTCTTATTTGGGGGGGGGATGTTATCAGTTTCTTTTTGTTTTCTATTTTATCACTTTCGAGTGACTCTCCTCCTCTTCCTCCTCTTCTTTCATTCTCCTCCTTTTTATCTTCTTGATTATCGTCATTCTGCTATTTCCTTTTCTTTGTTTTTTCTTTACTAAGTGATATTCTTATTCTTTTCCCTCTTCTTCTTCCTCTTCATCTTCTTCCACTTTTTCTTCCTCTTCTTCCTCTTTCTATTCTTCTTCTACTCCATCTTCTGCTTCCTATTCTTTTTCTTCTTCCTGTTCCTCTTCTTTTTCTTCTTCTTCCTATTCTTCTTCATCTTCTTCCTCTTTTTCTTCCTCTTTCTATTCTTCCTTTTCTCCCTCTTCTTCCTATTCTTTTTCTTCTTCCTGTTCCTCTTCTTTTTCTTCTTCTTCCTGTTCTTCTTCTTCTCTCTCTTCTTCTTCCTATTCTTCTTCATCTTCTTCCTCTTTTTCTTCCTTTTTCTATTCTTCCTTTTCTCTCTCTTCTTCTTTTTCTTCTTCATCTTCTTCATCTTTTTCTTCCTTTTTCTATTCTTCCTCTTCTCCCTCTTCTCCCTCTTCTTCCTATTCTTCTTTTTCTTCTCCCGCTTCTTCCGATTCCTCTTCTCCTTCCTCTTCGTATTCTTCTTCTACTTCCTTTTCTTCCTCTTCCGATTCTTCTTCTCCCTCTTCTTCTTCCTCTTCTTCTTCTTCTTCTTCTTCCAGTTCTTCTTCTTCTTGCTATTGTCTGGATTGGTTACGGCTGCGCATGTGCAAAAGAAGAGAATGCAATCGAAACGA